CAGAGTTACACACATCCATTTATTTATATATATATATATAGTTATTTATATATATTATATATAGTTATCTTAGTATGTAGGTCTTTGGTTATTCGGGTTTTCTCCCACGTAAAATTGCTTACTCGGCTTCGTGCTTCCTGGAATTTCCAATTTTACGCGGGAGAAAACCCGAATAACCAAAGACATATATGTCTGGCTGGCTGGCTGGCTGGCTGTCTGTCTCCATTCCAATAACCATGGCTCACATAGGAAGGATACTCTTTTATTCTAGCTTTAGTTAATTCTTTTATGATAACAAACTGCACATTGATTATTCTTTGTGGATAGCAACGTGGTAAAGGGAGATAAAGAATTTTTCTTAGTTTCCATGGAGAATTCCAGCATGCATACAAAAAAGTAAAACTCTGAAATTATGAAAGGATTTTCTTCCCAGAAAGTTTGTTTATTACTTGGATATGTGTAACTCTATTTTGCTCTGTTCTTTTTAATTCGACATAGATATGTTTTCTAAAGTAAATCTAGAAATTCAGTGTAAAGGCCACACTGTGCATACAGAGAGTCCTCTTAATAAAAAAAATCATTAGATAAAACTTTCAATTGCCTAAAACCATGATAGGCAGCAGAAGTTCATGTTTTTGGATTCATCTAATAATGATCATAGTAGTATGCAAAATGTAAGATGAAAAGATGGTAAAAGGCATCAAATTGGAAATGAATGGAAAAGATGTATTTTTGAAAATTAAGAAAAGTGGGGGTCTAAGAGATGAGAATAAAGATGTCCTGCTCTTAAGAAGTGCTCCAACAATAGAATTAGTCAATAAAAGATTAGACAGCCAGGAATTCTCATACAGTCCAGGGTGGTATAAGGATTCCTCCATTGCAAAGGGAGTTTGATTAGAAGACCTTCACGGTTTCTTTCAACTCTTTCATTCTACACTTGAAGTTCTGTCTTGCTGCTAATATGATAAAGATGATTCAATAATACCTGAATAAAAAAGGGCTTCTATGTGATTTTATTCCATTTGGATCTTCCATAGCTGCTCAGTTTGCTCTATACAAAGGAAATGACTGTTGTTCAACTCTGAATACAGTATTACAGAATAGCAGAACAATAGAATTGGAAGGGACCTTGGAGGTCTTCTAGTCCAAATGTGCTTAAGCAGGAGACTCTATACCAGGGGTCTCCAAAGTTGGCCACTTTAAGACCTGTGCACTTCAACTCCCAGAATTCCCCAACTGGAATTCTGGAATTCTGGGAGTTGAAGTCCACAAGTCTTAAGTGACCAATTTTGGAGACCCCTGCTCTATACCATTTCAGACAAATGATTATCCAATATCTTCTTCAAAACCTCCAGTGTTGGAACACCCACAGCTTCTGGGGGCAAGTTGTTCTTTTAGGAAATTTCTCCTTCGTTCCAGGTTGCTTCTCTCCTTGGTTA